CACACATATTCAGGTCAGGAATTTACATACCGGAGTGCCGTCTGGCCACCTCCGTTTGGGGCAGTTGCCGGTGGTATTTTTTGCATGATTTTTTTGTGCATGTTCTTCATGAGTCTAGTTTATCCACACCAAATTTAATCTTAAAATTCAATCGGGAAGATAGACAAATAATTTTTTGAAAATAATTGTGTTTTTTGTGTATATTTATATCATGTCTATGACCTTGTAACGGTTTTTGTTAATTTAATATGGAGAGCCCTAGTTCGTATATCGTATAACCAGGGTTGTACGGTGTACATTGTATTGTCGATGGTGGTGTGTAGCATGGATTGGGCACATAATTTTTTTACTTAATTATATATGGACGTAGGCCGGGTGTCGAAACAAAACAAGAAATTAAAATAATAATTAAGCACAAACTAAAGATTAAAAAGTTGAGAATGTATTTCTTTTTATTTTAGTTTGTTGGAAAAGATATGAAATAAAACTATAAAAATGATTGCGATAATACGTAATTATTATTTTATTCTTATGTAGATTGTGAGAAATTATAGATCAATATTTTAGAACTCAACATAAGTCATTTAAAATTAGTAACTAGTCAACATTTCTCAATGATGGTCAAAACGAGTTTAGTTGTTTTAGTGCAACAACAACATATATATAAAGTGTAGTGTTTTTAAATAATAATTTATTTAACTGACATTCTGATTGAGTTTTAAGCTAAAATTCTATGGAGATAATTTACACTTGATGAAAAACATGCTCCTTGAACAGGATCGCCTACCCCTACCCCCCCCCCCACCTAGTCGTAACCTCCCCTGCCCCTACCCGTCCTAGTACACCCATACCCATTACCCTTACCTTTAACCTACCCCCTACCCCTTACACCCCTACCTAGTCGTAACCTCCCCTGCCCCTACCCGTCCTAGTACACCCATACCCATTACCCTTACCTTTAACCTACCCCCTACCCCTTACACCCCTAAACCCCCTATACCCATTCAACCACCCCTAACCCCCCTACTTGTCCATGTACCTAGTCATGGACCCGGGCCGGGCCGGTTCCGGTTCCGGGCCCGGGCGGGCTTTTTTTTTTTTGGGAAGGAAGGCCCGGGACCGGCCCGGGTAGCCACCGGGTCCGGGCCGGGCCGGGCCGGGCCTCCGGTTCGGTCATAATTTTTTTTTTTTTTTTTGCTTTCCTAACCCCCCTACTCACCCCCCCAAACCCCCAAACCCCTCCTAACCATCAAACCCAACCCGGCTAACCCCAAAAAATGAAAAAAAAAATAATAAAAAAAAATCAATTCGGCCCGGGCCTGGGCCCGGCCGGGCCGGTTCGCCAAATACAAGGCCCGAGCCCGGACCCCCCCCCCCCCACCGGGCCTAGGCCCGACCTGGACCCGAGAACCGGGCCGGTTCTGGGCTCGCACGGTGGCGGGCCGGTCCCGGGCCGGGCGGCCCGAACCGGGTCCATGACTACATGTACCCCTGCCCTGTACTTGTACCTGTTACCCTTACCCTACCCCCTACCCCCATTCCCTGCCCTCGACCACTATTGATATGCACTAATTAGTAGTGCATAAATGTGTGTTTTTATGTTTGATTTGTGTAGATTGTTTACCGTTTTATTTAGTTTGTAAACATTTGTGTGATTTTAGTTGTAATTGTATTTTAATCTTCATTTGTAAGTTGTAAAATAGAGTTAGGAATTATGGTGTTGGAAAGGAAGTCTTTGAAGTGAAGGAGAAGGAAATTAAACTGCCCAGAAGAAAATACCTGATCGGGTAGAGACCTTGACATGGTCGGGTAGGACATGAAATCGAAAACTGCTCAGGAAAGTACTTCACCCGGTCGGGTCCCTAACTTGACCCGGTCGGGTCCGATGTAACACGAGACATTTTAACGTGCTGAAACACAACATCGTGGCGAATCGATCAAATTTTGACCGGTACCAGGTCGGGTGGGCACTATACCCGGTCGGGTACCCGGCCAAAGGTGTTGAAAAACACCTATAAATAGCACATTTTTCCTTCACAAAGAATCACTCCTTCTTCCATACTCTTAAGCTCAGTTTAGAATAGCATTTCTTTTATATTTTTATAGAATGTTTAGTCTCCAAATGAGGAGCTAAACTTCCATTTCTTGGTGTTGCTCTTAAAGCTTGTTGATTATTAAAGTTGTGAGTTATTTTCTTAACTTCTTCCCTTGAATATTAATTCTTCCCTTAATCTATCTCTATATTAATGTTGGGGAGTGTTGCTAAGTTGACAATTAGTTAACCTCTCGACATTAATTACTACTAGAAACGATCAATGAACCGATGGTTAATCGTTGATGGTTTCACAAGTAAGTAACTTCGGTTTATTAATGCACGGTCATGGTTAATAAACTTAAGAGGGATTAATTGTGTTGGTTAAACTGAAACCGTTGTGTTGAGGTTATCAATCTCAATTGATTTCATCAAAGAGTTAAGAGATTAAATGCTACTATTAAATCGGTATATGGTGTTGTTCTATATTTGATTAATAGTAAGGGTTATTAATGAACGGTCGTTGTTAACAACTACCCTCGATGAATTGGAGATACTCCTCGATTGAGTATTCGAGAGGGGATAAGTTATAGATATAACAATGATCGACTAAAATATATCAACAAGTGTAAAGTAGCAAGGTCAAGATCTTTTTATTCTTGAATTAAATCACATATAAGTTGCTCATTTTAGTGTTCAATTAAATTAATTCCAACAATCCCAAAACCCCCCTTTTATTTACTAGTTTTATTAAAAAGAGAATGATTCCTTTCCCTGTGGATACGAACTTTACTTCACATATACTACGTATAAGTGTTAGTATCGATTTATTTTGACGCACTACGACAAAGTGCTCGTCAACTATCCTACCCCTACCCATAACTCATTGCCCTTAGGGCTGGGACTTTGGAATCAAGAACCGGAGAACCGAACCGGACCGAACCGTTATGACCCGGTTCGGTTCGGTTCCGACATTTATTAGTTATTTCTTAACGGTTCGGTTCCTATTTTTTATTAACGGTTCGGTTCTCAGTTCCTGAAAAAAATATGTACCAGGAACCGTTAAGGAACCGTTATATATAATAATTAAAATTATATATATTTATTATGGGTATATGTATTTTAATGTATATTTATTTTTATTTTTATATTACATTCATTACTTTAGTTTAGTTATTTAACTATTTAAAATTATATTTTCAAAAAGAAAAACTATTTAAAATTATTATTCACTTTCAACCCGTTCTCTTAGGCTTCTTAGGCATCTCATTAGGTCCAAACTCCAGCGGGTCGGAATTAAAAAGGTCCAAAGTATTTAAAATTATTATTCTCTTTAACTGATTCATCATATTTGTATTGTAATTTCAAACGTTGAATGTCTTTTTGACAAAAATTTAGTCATGATTGGTAAGAATTTTTCAAAGACTAGGAACCGTTAAATGACAAGAACCGAACCGTTAAGAACGGTTCGGTTCCTTATCGGTTCTATAAAATATTTTATAAGAACCGAACCGTTAGTAAAATTTCATATTTTCAAACGGTTCCACATATTTTACCTAGGAACCGAACCGGTCCCAGGCCTAATTGCCCTCATCCGTTACCCTACCATTACCATACCCCAACCCTACTCCCTACCAGATACCCCTACCCTAACCTCGAACCTACTCCCTACCCCGACCCTACTCCCTACCACATACCCCTACCCTAACCTCGAACCTACTCCCTACCCCGACTCTACTCCCTACCACATACCTCTACCCTAACCTCGAACCTACTCCCTAGCCCTACACCTAACCCCGCCTCTAGCCCTGCTGACCCCAACCCGTCGACCCTCTACCCCTACCCTTTGGGGGTTAGGTGTAAGTTGTATGGGGTAGGAGCGGGAGTGGGGGTAGGTAGGAGGGGTGGGGACAAGGAGTAAGTACAAGTACGGTAGGGGTAGGGGTAGGGGTGTTAAATGTAGGGCCGGTCCTGAAAAATAGAAATCATGTGCGATTAAAAAAATTGGACCTTTCTTTCCAACACAAAGGGAAATAGAGCATAAATAATAATGGTAATGGTGATGAATTACCATGAATTTCTGTTACAATTCATGTTAACATTGAACATAATAGCAAAAAACAAATGTATTCATTAATAAAATACATTTCATGAAAAATTGTCTGTGGTATATTGGTATGTTGTATTACCGTAAATTTCCGTAAAAATACATACTTGTATGTTATATGGTTCTAAAGACACAAAATTGTCTCTTTTTGCATAAGTTTTAAAAGATTATATCTAGTTTGGTAACTTGGTTGTTTTTGTTGGCCTTAAAATCATAAGATCGTGATTGTTATTTATATATTTATATATACTTTTACTTGTGTCATTCATTATTTTGGCTACTACCCAAATTGGCTACTACCCAAATTTGCCTTGCTCAAAATACGGCCTTCATTGTTAGGAACCACAAAGGAAATATCCTTGCTATTGGCTCTCAAAAGGTTACCGCTAGATCCCCCAAATTGCTCTTATAAGCTACATCTTATATGTTCTAATTTTTTGTAGCAATAAAAATTGGGTGATTGACTCCATCCAAAAAGATGACAAGAAGGTCGGCCAAGCAATTAGGTCGCATTGTGTTGGTTATTGGGATGACATCTACAATACTACCCGCATTCGAAGAATATTGAATAAGCAATCCATCTCACTTGAAGTCAGTAACAAGGCAATCAACCATGCAGCACGATACATCAGTAAAGGCAACAACTCTCAAACTACTCAGTTTACTAATATCTTGAAATTTGATGCCATAGGATTCCCTTATGCTTGCTTTGTAGTTTGAGTAGACTTCGGTTTGATCCTCCTACTCTTTGTAATTCATTTTCGTTTAATAAACAAAGTTATTTTGGAAAAAAATACTTGTGTCATTCATTTAAATTTCAAAACTAAATAATATAACCTAAAGTTTATGGATAACAATTTAATACTTTCATAATCGTGAAATGAATAATACATTAAAATGTTATTAAAATACAAATGTAAAAAAAATTACATAATACCAAAATTGACTAGACGCGATTAGATCAACCATATCATACCAGAAAATATGAATCCTATCAAACAGAGCCATACACACAAACATGTACTCAAACGCTTTGCTTTGCTTTTGCTTTGCTAAGCCAGCATTCATACGGAGATTTCTGGTTCTGGATATTCAGGTTGGATACACATAAGCATAGTTTCAGACAGCACAAAACCCCATATACATAATTTATGAATTTATCAATTATCATAACCAAAAACTGGTCACGCTATGACCGGCACGTCCTGAAAATCTCTCCCCGCATGGCATCTATAGGGGTGTGTTCCATGGTGTAACGTTCTGGACCATGATATGTCCCTGTCCTATCCAGCAGGCTAAGCGCCTCCTCCCTACCAAACCTTGAAGTGTAGAGCCTAAGGTACTCAATGTCCTGATGACAAGAAACACAGGGTAGGGAAGGTCAAAACTCAATCACTTTTTAAGCATCCCCCTTCATTCACAAGCAGGGGCGGAGTCAGGGGGGTCAGGGGGGTCAGCCGACCCCGCTGAAAGTTTGAGAGTATAGAGCTCTGAAATATCTTCGATTTGATATATTATGGGCCCCGTAACTCATTACGAGTAAAAAGTTTTGACTTCTGGAAAATCAGCACTATCTAAACGTAAAATCAACAAAACTTGATGCATAATATGGATTATTTTCCCAAATTTTTAAAATAGTGTATAATTAACTCATTACTTATGTGACATTACTCAGAAACAGAGCAAAGGCAACTATCTTATTGCTATATATGAGTGTCTATTTATCTAAACTACATATGAAACATTAAACTCGGACATTGTCTAAAAACGATTCACCATTTTCATTTTGTATATATTTGATTTTCGACCCCCCTCAACCGTTTTTCTGGCTCCGCCACTGTTCACAAGGTCTCCTATAGCGTGCCTGTATACTTCTACCCAAGCAAAGTTCAATTATACTAAAGTCCAGATACTGCGACCATAAGCGAGTTTATAGGGACTGAAGACATCAGTTCTAGAATTAGAACCGACCCATCAACGATTGGAACCGTACCATTATATATGATTTCGGTTCTATCAGATTGTGGATCAGAATCGATGGTTACGAATTGTGTGACCGGAACAAGAAAGAACCATAGCTACATACGGTTCTAATTTTTTGGAATCAGGTCGTGAAGATATCCATATCAGGCGGGCAGTGCAACACAGGGTTTGAAGGAACCCACTAATAGCCCGTGGGGCATTTTGGTGCATTGCAGAATTCAGAATCAGGTCATTGGAAAGAAAGGGGGGGGAGAAACCCACCTGAGCCCAAGGCCAGTTTCCTTCACAACTTAGGGGCCGTTTGGATATTAGCGGATTAGAGCAATCCGCCGTTTTCCAACAAAGGAAAACGCTGGTATTTCCAGCGTTTTGGCCCTGGACTGCCGAAAAACAAACGTCCCCTTAGTCTGGTAACTTTATCAAAGGGATGGAGCCACGGAGGAAGCTTTTTAATTGTAATAAATATGTAATAATTATATCAAAGAAATTTTGACTGAGACAAGAGACAAGATCACCTGTAAGCCGCTCAGAAGCCGCTCCAGTCTTAACGAAGCAACTGGTTCCTGCGAAGAGGAAAACACCTGCCCAGGGTAAAACAAGACTCCATCCCCGGGAGGAAGACCATGCCTGAATCTTACCTGAACAAAGAAATTAACCGTGTCATATATGTAAGTGGAGTTTATAATAAATAAATTAAAGAAAACAATAATTAACTAAATGGATTCAATCATATGAGGGACTGACCTCGGCACTAGGAACTGTTGCCTTTTCGTAGCAATTGGCACCCCAATACAAGAAACCTGTTCCGCCTTCTTTCCAAACACGCCACATCACTGCTCGATGCTGTGTACCTCGCATTCCCAAGTGCCAGTTGGGATGAGGATCAGTGGGCCCCAAGCATACATACGTCCACCACTCCTGTTAACAAAAAAATCACAAGCACATTCTATCATGAAAAAATAATTAAATTCCAAAACCGTTATAATTCTTTCGTCACTTGCATGGGAATATCACGAAAAGCCAATGAGTTGAAATAGTTATTAAAGAAATGTCCTATCACAAAATTGATGTTGTTAAAGCAATATATACAACAAGGAACGTGACCATAGATTGTCGAAAACAACAAATGATCAAACTATTATTGTCATCTGATGACTTTCAGTATATACTCCCTCCGTATTAAACTGTAACATACCTTTTGGTATGTTGTTAAGACAATGAAGGGGGTAATTATTATTTTACAACTTTAACTTTCTAAAAGGAAGAGAAAGTAATAAAAACGGCAGGCCGGTGCACATTGGCATCCCCGCAAGGCGAGGATCCGGGGAAGGGTCCCACCACAAGGGTGAAATGACAGATATGGATTAAGTGCAAAATTAAAAAGTCAGTGGAGTTCAAATTAGGAAGGTGTATGTTTTTAGGAGAGATGGAGAAAGGATAGAGGGGGTGTTATACATTACCTCACCATTTTCTGGTCGTATCTGTGAAATGATATCCTTCGCAAGGTCCTCTCTGTTCCCAAGCACCCACTCACTGGAAGGGAAAAAGAAACATTTAACCGAAGGCCAATGGGTAGTCCCAGTAAGAAAGGTGATCTGGAAGTCTGGAATGGAATAAAGAACTGGAAACATTTGGAAAATTAAACAGCTAATTATTTTCCAGCTATGCATCTCCCTTATAGAAGAAATACATAGTAAAACACACCAAATATGCGCTATTGCGCACAAACCTAGTTTAGCATCACACGACTTTAATTCTTTATCAAAGAAGGAAATAGTACGAGAGAAACTATCTTGATGAAAGGACATGATTCTCTTGCATGGGTAAAGAAAATAAATACACAAGAAAGCTGTAAGTACCTTGTACAGTAGATCTGTGTATGGGGCCGTAGGAATTCAGGAACTTTCAGGAAAGCCTCAAAGTTATTGGGGGCAAGAGGTGCATCATGGGGACCTGCATAATTAGAACAGCAATTAGAGGACAGTTCTTGAGCACTATTATGCTTTGTTTGGATAAAGAGAGAAGTGGGAAACAAAGAAGTAGGGGAGAAGAGGCTGACAAGAAAATGAGTGGATTCTTAGTTTGATTGGATTGAGCGAAATAGGAAAGAAATAAGCTTGAATGTGGAAGTGAAAACAAATTAATATATTTGGGTAGTGTACTTCAAATAAGATGGAATATACATCATTTCATTATTTAAGGGCTCTTTTTCCTATTCCTGCCAAAGCCATGTCAGGAGAGAGCTTTTTAGGTGGGCCCCATCACAGTTTTGCTCTCTTTTCTCCCCTTTCCCAAACTACCAAAATCTCTCATTTCCACCCAACTTCTCTCTCCTAAACCAATTGAAACAACAGACCATTACAGATCCATACAGGGAGAAGTAAACAATACCGTATGTTGTGAGAACTGAGATAAATTTCCAATGGCATACAAACAAATCAGTCCAAAAGTATCATATTAATGTCCACATTCTTAAGGCAAAATCAAACACGTGCGAATGAAATTATTAAAGAAGTTGGAGTCGCTTCTTTTTCATATAAAATAAATCTTACAGTTTACCATAATTTCAGTTGACACCCATCTTGATGGTCCAAGATAGGAAGCATACGCAAATGAGCAAGTATGCAATCTCCCATTGATAGACTGGTTTTCATCCATTAGTATTGAGTTTTCCAGTTTCCAAATCAGTCAATAGATACATATTTCCCTTCATACCAAACATAGGGGCTGTTTACTTTCGACTTAATGGACTCAATGGCAATGACGACTTAATCATGCAGCCAGTAAGTCATGTTTACTTACGAGTTACGACTTAATTGGAAACATGACTTAATCATTCAGTAAAAAAACTGATTTAATCATTAAGCCGGAGAATAGCAGTAGTCATTGCCATTTAGACGTCTAGTAAGACGTGTTTTGTCAATTATTTCAAATTGATTGTGGAATAGATTTATATTAATAAGTAAAGTTTTTCATTGACATAATAATCTAAGAATAAAACTAAATTGATTATTTTACTCGATTCAGACTGTTTATTCAGCATATAAAAAAAACAGCCTCATATACAAATATCACTTTATCCACACAGACATCTTAACCCAGACAGACGTCTTAATCCAGACAAGACTTGATATGAAAAAAAAGTAAACAGCCTGTCAGCCTCATAGTCTTATATGTGAGCAAACCAGTCATCTGATATTCACGAAAACCTTATCAAGTAAACACGCCTCAAATTCACTTCCTCCTCTACTGTGGAATAAACAATTAATGGAACTTTAGGAGTATTATCCCAGCAGGTTTTCTCTATGTGGCAACATCCACCACCTCGATCGAAAATGACTCTAAAATTGAAGCATACAAAAAAGACAACTATGCATTTCACTCATGAAAAAGATGATGATCACACTACCAGATCAAGATGAAAAAAGAGAATACAAACCACAATAATACGTAGTCAAAACACGAGCATCTGGTGCGTAAGCATGAATGTCACCGGCCATGCTTCGGACAGCATCATACTGTTTAAGATTGAGAGGCTGGCAGCATGCAAGATCATACTTAGAAGCCGCAAGCATACAATGGGGAATTATAACCCCGGCATTACTGAAACAAAATAATATTAAACAGAAGGAACTTACATGCGAAGACATTAAAAATGCAGATTATTTTCAACCAGAGTTCTATGACTATTTAATAGTTTTAGAGAAAATTGCATCTAACTGCTGCACTGTATTTCTATTTTAGCAGAGAACCAGTCTACTGGAAGGATAAAGTGAAAAGGTATCCTCACAACAATAATGCCGAAAGACAACAGAGTAAAAACTCTTATTGCGGTCATGATATTGTAGATAACGAAGATGTAGATAACCTTTACACATTAAGCCTCTTATAACCATTTAATGAGATGTCAAAATATTTCATCTACAATAAACCACTCAAGCAAAGAAGCCATTTATAAAAATACTTGTACATTGAACCTCAATGCTCAAAGAATAAAATAATAAGCATTCTTAGCATCTTGGATATGTCCAAGTTCAAAATTTAAATCACCTAACCTTACCTCATCCCACAAGTAGAAGTAGGCTTTTCTCCAATGAGATTTTGTTCTCAATATCTCAACTTCTCTTTGCAGATAGTCATTTGCAGTATCACCACTGCATAAAAACAGAGAACCGTTTCAATACATGCTTTGACAAAAATAAAACCAAATTTCAAAAAGTATTAAATTTATTGCCTTCATACCAGCTGACTACTGGACAGTGGGGCACAGCATACGCCGCAAGTCGGGGATCAGAAAAATATTCATCAGATTTTGGATGATCAGCTACATAATCACACCATAATGACATATCAGAGTGTCAATAGTATAAAGGTCCATCCATCTAAAACATCAGTCAATCCCCCCCCCCCCCCCGCCCCTTGTATTCTCTTTAAATTAGGGAAAACCATAGGAAAAATATAGAAAGCAAATATCCATGAAAGAAGGCGGCTCTTAGGATGTTTCATCTGTGCAAAAGAAACAAAGTTGATGCGTGATTAAGTAACTTTGAAGCATAAGTGGTTCTTAACGCTTTTACCTTGCCATGGGCAGGTGTATGTCAAAACTCTCATGCTGTCACCCCATCTGCAAAAGTATGGGCTAATTCTATATTGAAGTAGCCATTTGAAATGCCGATCTAGAATCTCATACCATTCATTACTTCCATGTTCAACACCAAACCGATCTTCAATTACAGTGTCAGATATCTAGATATAATCAAGGATATCATCAAACATCTTGCTCACAAAAAGGAAAATTGAGTCCAACCTAAATACGCACTAGACTTGGAATTAGTAAGATTCACTCAAAATACAGTGGTTCGCAGATACTAAATAACAATGTACAGCTGCAAAGTCTTTTTAAGGTTATTATAAGTACAACCAAAGTGATATGAGGATACACCAATAACAGTAGGGACTGAAGGTGTAGCCGGTAGTATAAACTCCCATACTGTCAAACTTATCTTCAACCGAATGGGAAGGGTAGAAGTTGCATCCTCATCCATCATGTCCATGGACCCAGTTTCTGATAAGAAATCAGAGAATGGTGGGGACTGAAGAACGCTTCTCAGAGATGAAGTTGCAGATTTCACTCTTTCTATCTAAAACATAAACAAAGTTTATGAGAAATTTCTTGCATTGACAAATATTATAATGGCAACTGCAAATTGTAGGATCTGATCATGTTGCAGTTTCATAATTCAGAGACACCCACCACTTCACCTATTGGTTTTCCTTCAATGGGGTCTACAGTATCAAGGCAGTTTCTAAGTTCTCGGTAGAGTTGGTACTTCTCTATTTTACTTATGGATTGTGCACTGGATCTGGATTAACAAGAAAAGAAAGAAGATTAATGAAACCTAACAATCCCTTTGAGATGGTAAAATTGATGTCCCTGACAGCTATTGGTATTAACAAGAACCAGATCAAACAAGCTTAAATTAATCTGAACTAAAGAGCATAGAATGTTACTCTGCATTAGCATTGGTAGCAGAAATAATGATTTCCCCGTCATATATCCCAGGTGGCTGTGCACTTGGAACATCAATTGAAAGCCAGACTGCTGCAGTTTCCCTGCAAAATCGTAGGAGTTATAATAAATTCTGAGTTTCTGAATTTGTACAGAGATGAGGCTATCATTACCCAGGAAATAGGTTTAATTGTGAGACTGGCATATCAAGTGGTACAAGAGCGTCGGGAACACCCAAAACAGGTACTACTCTCCGTATGGTCAATGATTCTCCAACTACCAACCTATAAATAGCCAATCTTAGAAAATGAATGAAATAAAAATCATTAATATCCATAGAAAATGACTAAAAACATAGACTAACCTATCACCAGTAGACGAGCACAGGTCAGTACATTGAAGCTGTACAGATCCTGCAAAACAAGATTCACCCCACGAAACTTTGGGCCGTATAGCAACCTGGATACTTTCTCTTTCATTTCTGGCTGCTAGAAGAGATATCTTCAACATGACATTCAGTGTCAGATACCATAAAATTGTTGCAACCTAATATATCCAATTAAACTTTGCTGTTCTGAAGTTTGAGTCTAGAGCTTAATGATAAATATATGCTAGCAATAGCATTATAGCAATGCCACCAGATCAATATGAAGTGAAAACCATCGTGGCAGCTCCCATTCTATCTATTGAAACTTATAATTCCTATTGGACTTCTAGAGTGATTAGCATAGAGAAAAAGGGCATATATTGGTAAAATAATGGGAATGGTAACACAAAAACAGATTAGAAATTCATAACCTAAAAATAACTAATTAGGATATACTTATATTTAATTAATCCCTACTTTGGTTTGGGGTATCGGGGGGAATAGAAGAGTGATATTTTTCATTATTCTGTACTCATATTTAGATGGTTGAAATGAAAGTGAAGATGAAAAAACATTCAAAAATACACCATTTAACTAAAAATAGAGTTACTTTTCTGGTCTAAGGCTAACATATAGTGGTAAAATTAGCAAAACAACTATCAATCTTCTCATCTCCCCTCAGAAATCCCACAAACAAACCCAAAGTCCAGCAAGGCATTTTAACTTGAAAAAAAAAAAAAGAACATACAGGCTCCATGTGCTGAGGCACATCCTGTGGCCCAACATTAGCGGTACTGGGCATCCACCAAACATGCACCAATTCTGAAGTAGGAACTTTAGCAGGATCAATTACACCTCTTAATGGTTTTGGATCATTTACTTCACCATTAGTCCATCCATATGCAGTGCCACCTCCAGCAATTCCTTCAACTGGTGGCCCTGCTACCTCTTGGTTCCCTGTAAGTATTTTAAAAACAATTAAAATCACATTTAGCCATCCTAACCCTAAGCGACAAGAAGTTTGAAACATATGTAGGTACAAAATTTTAGAACTGCGAGAAGCCTATATTTAGGAAATTTATGTATGCCAGTTTTAGAAAGTAATCTATAACATATGTTTTTCATAAAACTGCAACTATAATCAAGGTTCTCAACATCTCTAACATTGAACCTAGAACTGCATTCATTAACAGTTTTCCTATTAGAGCCACTTCAAAACTTGCATGGATAAGGAGAAATAAGTGCCAACTCCAGTTGGTTATATCACTCAATACTAGGAATTCATTCACTCTTTTCTTCCCTGAGGTTAACACTTTCAATTCTAATTTCACCTTTTAGTGGATTTATTGTCGCACTGTTCTGTAAGACAAAAATCAAGTTAAGCAATTTTTTATACTCTTAGAACAACTGTATGTATATATAATAATGCAGTTTGTTTTGTTAAATTTTTAAGCCAAAACTGACTGGATAAAAAGTACTCCTTCTCGGATACATTTGAAACGCAAGACAAAGTACTCCTGTAATCGATAATGGTAGAGTCTCTAGGGTCAAGAGCAGGTAGGTTTTTCTCTTTTCTGAACCATCTTTCAATTGTTTTATACTAGTAACTTTCTTTAATTCTGAGTCTTTTGTTGTTTTCAATAAAATGTACGATGGGGGTCGAAGTTGTGCAAAGAGCACATGAAAAACTAACTACAGAGATAATGATAGCTATTTAGTGTTTCACTACTTCCCAATAAAAATTCCAGCTTTAAAATTTATTATCTGAAAAATGGACGGTGTGGAAACAGCTCATGATCTCTATAATTTCAACTAAATATGTTCAGTTTTTATAGACCACCAACCGACCAACCCAGCATCTCTGAAGTCTGCATATTTTTTTTTGCTTAAGCAGTAAAAGAAAGATGGTAAAAAATGCAGATTTCTTAATGTAAAAGGTACTCCTAATATTACAAAAAATGACACACACATACAAAGTATTTTAGAAACAAAAACAGTACAGCTGAATCAGTCTGTTAATTTGTAAACAAAAAATACATAAAACCGCAAAATTGAAAAAAGTATAACACAGCATATACTTGTCTGAAACATACAAATAAGATATGTAGTGGTATTTCTGCAATCTTGGAAAATATAGCACTGATAGAGGATCTATAGGCTTTCACTCCACTTGACCTATCAAACTTGGTGGATTAAATTACACATAATTTTTTTGGTGAGGTACTTGGAATTCAGGCTACCAAAAGAAAATTTTGGTCATCAACTCAATGGTACAGTCAGTTTGAACAAGTACCCATTCGTTCCATACAAAGTTGCAAAGCAGAAATGCATAAAAAAGTTAAAAACCTTAAAATTTATCCATATGATAAGCTGCCATTGATCACTTGCACTGGTATAGGGAGTACCAAACAATTTAAGACGAAAGATGAGGGTGGAAACTGGAAAATCCGATACATACCGGGGTTTTCCATTGACAAAATTGCGTCTTTTGGTGTTTTTGTAGGAAAACTTGGAGGATTGTACGCCCAGATTACTCAGAGAGGTTGAACTGCTAAAGAACTAATTGCTTCTTTCCTGGGTTAAGATGGTTTTTGTAGAGAGAAAATAATACGGAGTAATGAGAAATGATCGATTTGCGTCTGGATTTCAAAAAAAAACGTATGCCACGTCAGTAACACTCACGAGGAAATGGCAATTGCTTACCGAAGCAAGTTCTCCGAATTATCCAAAGATTACAGTAATTTACGTTACTAACTCAAAAAGTATTTCTGGTCAAAAAAAACTCAAATAGTTTTTCTAACACATTCTCGTGGAGTAAAGGATCAGTTTGGTACTCGAAGTTGCATAAAAAGGGTCAAATAAGTCCTTACTGTCCGGCCGTCGCCATTTGGGGCAGTTCCCGATGGAATTGTTTGAGGAAATTTTGTGAGCATCTTATTCATTAAGTCTAGTTTACTCATACCAAATTTCAGCTAAAACTCCAATCGGAAAGGCATTCAAATGAATTCTTGAAAATAACTGCGCAGTTATCTTCAAGAATTCATTTGAATACCTTTCCGATTGAAGTTTTAACTGAAACTTGGTATGGGTAAACAAGATTTGATGAATAAGATGTTCACAAAATTTCGTCAAAAAATTCCACTGGGAACCGCCCCAAATGGCAATGACCAGACAGAGTCTCCTATATAAGGACTTATTTGACCCTTCTATGCAATTTCGAGTACCAAACTGGCTCTTTACTCCATTCCCATGATATTATTGTTACTTTGTATTTGCTTATGTGTAGTCTCACTAATAGATAGTATTGAAACAGGGTGAGGTGAAGATAGTGATAGAAAATGGATTTATGTGATTAATGTTGAATTAATAAATAAGAATAAAGTAAGAATGATTTAAAACTACATAATTTTTTTTCAAATTAGGTATGTGACAAGCATAGTGGGACGGATCAAAAGTAAAGGTGAGACAATTTTAACGGGACGTGGTAATTTTTAGTTCAGATTAGTTTTTTTTTTAAATTAGTTTAAATTGGAAAAAAAAAGTTAAAATAATACATTTGGTTAAATAAATTAATAGATAAGCTTTTTAGAAAAAACAAATTTCTTTATTAACGATAATAAGGATTTGTATAAAAATAACTGAATAGCCTAATTCTACAATGAAATGGGACATAGAATGTAATAGTTTTCTAACCCCATAGAGATGTTAACTCTTATATCAATATGTAATGGTTAAAGGGTCAAATAGGTACATGAACTAGCTTAAAGTGTTCAATTAGCCCCTTATATAGGAGGTTCTGCCCGGCCGTCGCCAATTGGGGCGGTTCCTGGTGGAATTTTTTAATGAATTTTTTGAGCATCTTCTTCATCAAGTCTAGTTTACTCATACCAAATTTCAGCTAAAAATAAAATCGGGAAGGCAGTCAAATGATTTTCCGAAATGTGTTGCGCTGTTTAACTGCGCAGTTATCTTCAAAAAATCATTTGACTGCCTTCCCGGTTGGATTTTTAGCTGAAATTTGGTATGAGTAAACTAGACTTAATGAAGAAGATGCTCAAAATATTTCATCAAAAAATTCCACCGGGAACCGCCCCAATTGGCGACGTCCGGTCAGAACCTCCTATATAAGGGGCTAATTGAACACTTTAAGTTAGTTCATGTACCTATTTGACCCTTTAACCATATGTAATGGATCCTGGTATTAAACTAATTAAGATTTGAAAACGAACTACGTTGATAATAAAAGCAAACAAAAACATAAATCGGTTTCACCATCGCCGATAAAGAAGTAACAAAAATTCTAATTAAGATTTGAAAACGAACTACGTTGATAATAAAAGTAAACAAAAACATAAATCGGTTTCACCATCGCCGATAAAGAAGTAACAAAAATTTGGATTCATCAAACCATAAAAAAAAAACACTAGAATTCTCAATTTGACCATCTACTAGAAAAGAAATTGTCAGAATCAACACTTTGACCAACTATCGAAACGGATGCCCAATCGGGTATTACTATCTTTGTCCCCTTAAGATTGAGTCAAGAGGGGTGGTGCGGTTTTTTAAAAAAATAGAATTATGTAGTTGATATTAAAACGATAAAGTGTGAATAAAATAAGTATGATTTAAAATCACACAAATATTACTAAACATGACATGACAAACGAAGTGCGACGAACGAAGAAAATTGAACAATTATAGGGGGCGGAGGCAGTACCGATCCTACATAAATTTGGACCTGAGTCGAACTTTAGATAAAGGCCCTACTAATAGTTTTAATTTTCATTATATAATTTTTTTATATACTAAAAGAAGAAATAAATATATGTGACTAAAATAAAAGGTTGTTTATAAAAATTTGACATAATATGTGTAGTAACTATAATAGTAACTTAGTCATAGTAGCTTATACTCAATTTTTATATATAAGTGATCATAACACTACACTATAGTAACTATTAGTCATATTTTACAACAATAATGACAACAACATCGAAGCCTTAATCCCAAAAGATTTTGGGGTCGGCTAACATGAATCTATTCATGATATCATAGCCAAAATAGAAGAAAGATAAGAAAAATAAGAAATAAGAAAAAAAGATAAGAAAAATAAGAAAAATAAAAAGAGAAAGTAAGATAAGATAAAAATAACATGAGGACACGAGATAGATGAAAAATAAAAGAGATATATGAAGAGAGGAGATCAATCCTCCACACGTATATTAGTTATGTTTCCTTTAATCCAAGATTCTTTGGGTATTCCCCTCCTCCTGCCTGCCTCATCTCCCCACCTCTCAACTCGTCTAACAGGTGCATCACTCAATCTTCTACCCACATGACCAAACCACCGCAATCGAGACTCTTGCATCTTATCTTCTATATGTGCTACACCCACCTTTTGTCTAATTATCTCATTCTTCAAGCGCTCTTTTCTGGTATGTCCACACATCCAACGTAACATACGCACAAGGTCATCAAATGAATTTTGAGGCCCCGGTTCCAAAAAGCAAATTGAGGCCCTCTGAAAAAAGAAAGAATACAAAATTTAACAATGACATACAAATAAATTAGATATTTCAGTGAAAATAAGTTTTATAATGTTTAAAGTGCATAAATTAGACAATCTAAAAATTATACACCTTTTGGAATCTCGAATAATACATAACATCTAGAAAATCAACCTATATTTACTATTACATACTAAATTTCTTGGGGCCGCGTGTAAGAGTGGGTCTCGGTGCGAAACACCTATTGCACCTCCTAAAAGACGGACCTACACACGCATCTCTGTCACACTCGTCTTTTGAATGTGACATTGTTTCACCTCCCAACACTCTACATCATACATTAGTGCAGGCCCTAATTCCCGTCTACTAAACTTTATCCTTCAGTCTAGTCGGCATACCTCGATTACATAAAAATCCCTATACACTCTTCCACTTCATCCACCCTCCTCTAATTCTATGGGATACATATTCATCTAATTCACCATCCTTCTGAATTATAGAACCTAAGTAACGGAACATATCACACACCGGTATCTCATTGCCATCAAGGGTAATCTCATTGTAACTACAACCTCTACCTCCACCAAACTTGCACTTCATATACTCCGTCTTGATTTGACTCAGTCTGAAACCTTTGGTCTCCAAAGTTTGTGGTCATATTTCCAAATTTGTTTTAACATCCAATTGTGTGTCATCAATCAATACAATATCGTCGGCCAACATCATGCACCCCAATATCTCTTCTTGAATTGACTTTGTAAGTTCATCCATGATTATAGCAAATAAGAAAGGACTCAAAGCTAATCCTTGGTGCACTATGATAGTAATAGGGAACTCCGCAGTCCACCCTACACTAGTACGTACGCTCGTAGTGCAAGTCTCATACATATCCATCATGATACTGATATACTTATATGATATTCTTATCTAGTCAATGTCCACCTAAGGACTTCTCGAGGTACTCTATCATATGTCTTTTCTAATTCAATGAACGTCAAATTCAGATCCCTCTCGTTGCTTAACCCACCTTCTTTGCGTACCTTGAAATTATAACTTTTTATTTTTATATGCAAAAGTATTATATATATTAGTAATATATATGATTTTCTATTTTAATGGGCCGAAAAATGGGCTAACATATTAGGTTAAAGATTTTTTTACAAGGTGTTAGATGCGGGATCTGGATTTGGTGTTGTGTTGAATTTTTCTCACTATTACATCTCGCAAATTCAGAAAATCTCCAAATTCATCCATAATAGAATTCCCTGATTGAATGGGATGTTCAAGTGCTGATTTTATATGGAACCAATTTATAAACACCAAGGGTTATATAAATATAAGAAATGTAATGTAATTTCATGGTTGAGGGCACTTCCCTTTAATTTTAAAGAGTATGGTTCAACTTTCAAGAGAGTACTTAAAATTTGTAGTTGCATATTGATGTTGAGTGATGGTTGACGATTGACGATGAGTAAATTGAAATGATCAGCCAACTTAATATTGATATAGTATGCGAGTGACATTACGAGTTGTTCACTTGTTCCTAACTTTGCCACCTTTTTTTTTTCAAAATGACTTGATTTTTTAAGAACCAGAAGTTACCAATAAAAGGATTAGGACAACAATTAATAACAATCCATGTCAAGGGTGAAATCTTATTTGGAACAAACATGAACAAGAATACATCATGTTCTCAGTAAACACACAAATAGTTCCTTCTTTTTTCTTCTTATGGCAGATGAACAAATGCTCCACTCTGGAACAACCACAACCTTTACCAGTATCAGCTCACTCCCTACGGATGGAAAGAGCGGAGACTAGGAGGCATTGGCAGTGCTGGCGGCGAGGGGAATGGGCTGATGGTTGACACCTTGTTTGAGGCGGGAGGACTCCTGCTGGCGGATCTTCTGCATCTGAAGCATCCGCTCCATTACGAGCTCGTATTCGCACTTTTCGTAGGAGTGGCGCTCGTTCTCGCACTTCCATGGCAAGTAAAGCTCGGCCTGGCGGCACTTGTTAAGGGGAATCAGAAGGTGAGCGCACTGGTCCCAGTATGCCAGAGAAACCCTCGCCTCCACCATCTCTTCCTGCGTAGCTATCATCTTCTTCGACGATCCTGGCACCTCCATCTCTCTCGACCGATTCCTAACTTTGCCACCTTATTTTAGAAATTACTAACAGATTTTGCCGCCTTATTTTGGAAGTTAGAAACACAACTTTTGCGCAAAATGAATATCATGGCCTTGGTAACCCAAACAACTTAATGGTGAAGATGATTGCTTTACAATCTCAGACAGGGAGGGCTCTCTTGATATATGTGCAATACAACTTGCTAGAAACCATCCAAATATTTAAGAGAAGTAAATACGAGTCGCTCAATAATCTGTAGGGTTCCTAACTCATGTGGCTAGAAGACCATTGTTTTAGAAAAGCTTTCCAAAAACACCTTTTCTGTGACTTAAAATCAACATGTCCCATATGGAGATGATTTAAGCATGGAATGCGATCCAATTGAACCAATCCCACTTATCTACACAACTTTTGCTCTGACTGTTGAATTTTGCTTGAGAATTGATGAAGCAGCATTGTTCTTAGCTGGATGATTTTCTTTCATGATCTGCACCTTGAAAGAGAATGCAAATTTAAGGATTCAAATATACAGCAAAAAGAGTGATGGGGTGATTTCAAATATCAAATAGTGCAAATTTATGGTATTTTGTCTTTAAGCATCAGAAGTAATAATCATTTAGGTTACCATGTCTGAAGAATCGTCTCACATTGAGATTGCAGTCATCACTTTCAAATATGAAAGATCAAACGCTGCTTGAAACTTTACTTATGGAGTGGCAATCGAATGTGATGCTTTGATGTTCGGCCATGAAAAGATGACTGCAACAAGTACCAATCGAAAACAAAGGCATGCATTTCCTTAGGCCAATACAAGTCGTAGAATCAGGCAATTTTATACTAGTCGTTTGTGTCACCCGAAACAACCCTTGGCTTGGGCGAAAGACCTCTAGCCAACATCTCATCATCATACTTGCGAGCCAAATCAACCATTCCCTTCTGCACAAGAGCATCAATCAAGACATGATAAGCAGATTCATCCGGACTCAAACCCTGATCTTTCATTTTCCCCCAAAGATCAAGAACTGGTCTAAGAAACCCCCATCTCTCAAACTTACTCATCAGCATCACATATGTATCCATCCTAGGTTTGATACCTCTCTCGGTCATTCTATCAAACATCTTTAGTATCTCTTTTGGCTTCTCCAGACATCTGAAAAAGTAATGGTAAGTGGTCACGTTTGGTTCACAACCCTTCTTAGACATTAGGCCTAGCACCTCGAATGCATCCTTATACCTCATGTTTTCACACAAAAGCTTTAAAATTGTGTTGAATGTAATCACGTTTGGTTCACAGCCCAATTCAATCATCTCTTTGAAAAGCTTAACACCCACATCAACTCCATCTGAGATCCCAAGGGCTTGAATGGCTGTGTTATATGCCACCACGTCTGGCTCTATCCCTCTCTTCTTCATTTCCTTGAAGAGCTTCACAGCTTTCCACGGTTTCCCGCTCTTGCATTGAACATCCATGTAAATGGAATAGGAAAAAATATCCTTTTCCACTCCCCTTTTATCCATTTCTTCCCAAAACTCCTTGCATTTCCCCCACCAGTTCATCTTAAAGAACCCGCGAAGTATCATGTTATGAATCTTCGTGTCTAGACTTAAGTATCTCTCATAGTCTTTCCCGTTCACAAAACACAACTCTTGAGCTTCAATCACGTGTTTATACTCGCATAGAGCGTCAACCAAATTGGAGAAAGATACACTATCTTTTAAGTTGAAATCATCTAATTTATCGAACGTATCAATAGCTTCTTTGATTAGGTGAGCTCGAACATAGCGATTAAACATTATACGGAAAGTGGTGTGATCTGGCTTGGAAGCTAACGAATTTCTCATTTTATAAATAAAATTCCAAGCTATGTCGAACTCGAAGAACTTACCGAGAACGCTGATTATTTGATTGTAGGTCTCGGTGGTGTGTTCGAAACCTCGTTGTGATTCAACCCAATTGAAGAACTCCAAAGCAGTTTTCCAGTCATTGTTGTAACAAGACAGAGTCTCCGCGACTAGGTTCGGGTCATATTCATCGGAAGTTCGAGCCGAAACGGGCATAGGATGAGTTTTCCGAGTTGGATATAGGGATTCGGTGCGGTTTGTGGATTTCGGACGAAGATATTGATTGTTGGTCGGAGAAGTGTGATAGTGGATTAGAGATTGGAGATGAGTGAATGAGAGTAGTGATGCTGAGATTGAAGTGTGGGCAGATGTAATGGATGAAAGCGGATTTCTCCTCATGGCTATTTCAAACGACGGGACGACGGGGAAGTGATCGGCGCCGGGAGAATCTGGAAAAGACGGCCAGGTTGCTCGAAAATCCAATATGAAATGCTATATGGAAAATATCGAAAAATCGGTATCCCTCATTTATAGTATCGAAAAATACTGGAATATGTTTTCAAATACTATTTCGGTACGGTAACGGTAACGGTATATCGCGGTATACTGATATAATACCGTACCGACTCTCTACTCAACAATTACTTTTAATTCTAATATATTGTAAAAATTCATTACAATTTTGAAGCCCAAAATTAATACTTAAGTTGGCTACAAATACAAAAATACAAAAATAAAGGCTCAATTTCTCAAACCCACTATAACCTTATAGGCTTCTATCACGCTAACCTTAATGACTAATGAGTAATGTACAAATGTTAAGAAACAAGTCATCTTGTTCCAAGAGCTTGCAAGTCGTGATGGCTGGACCGCTAAATAGCTGACGAGTGAAGAGAGATACACTTATGTGACAAGTGTATCTACATAGGGATTCCGCGAGTCGAGACACACAACTTTGTCTCAAAGTCTTATTCAATTTTTAAAAAATTATAAAAATGACTAAATACACAATATCATATTAGGAATAAATGATTTTATATCCATGTTGTTTGAATAGTTTTTTTATAGAGATCACTATTGATTTAATTATATCTATATTGTTCAAGTTATTTTAGGAGAATGTGTTACTTTTTAATATGCGGCATGTTGAAATGCTTAAATATACTAATAATAATTATTGTTTACTATTGAATTGAGATCAATAGATTATTAATTGTACTTCGTAACACTTTAATAATAGATTTAATATGTCGCTAGTAATAACAATTTAGTATATTTCGTTAGTCTATGATAATTTTTTGTATTGGGAGACATGCACGGTAATTTATCGATACCGTACCGTTACCGAACCGAAACTTCGGTATACCGAAATGCGGTATACCGAAACTTTGGAAAGGTAAAGGTATGCAAATTTTGCATACCGAAAGTTTTGGTACGGCAAAGGTATGAGAAAAAATATAAGGTATACCGTACCGAACCACCCCTGAATATACAGCCCAAGCTGGATTTTTACTTTCTAAATTTAAGGAAGTGTTTGCGATTGCTTCTATTTTTTTTTTTGGAAGAATTCGGCTTATATTAATGACCAATAATTTTTCAGAATATGGGTCAAAAGATAGAAAGAAATCTGACAACCATTATCCCTCGAACCAGAGTCGGAATTAATCGCCGCAGCAATAAAATCCGCTGATCCATTATTGGGAAACACAAAGCCAAAAACGGTCATCATATTCCTCTCATCCTCATATCCAAAATCAACGTCTTACAAACTGGTACGTAAACAAAGAAACAAACATCAAAATAAAAACAATAATTATTGAAGTAGCAAACAAAGCACAATAAAAAACACTCATGTCGCAGCCAGAACACTCAACAATCCCTCTGACTTGTGATTACTTCTACTTTAAAAAAAATGAATTTTTAAAGCGATTTTGAAGAAAGTGTTTAATAGTATTTTTTGTGTAATAGAAAAAGTGAAAAGCAGTTTAAAGCACTCTTCCACCTGTTTTCAGCTTTTAGCTTTTAAGTGATTAATTTAAGTAGAAGCTGTCATTTGAAAACACCATTTTCCGTTTTTTTTAATCCAAAAGCTAAAAAGCACTTTTTTCAAGCAAGTGCAAACACTCCTTAAATTGAAGTTTAGTTATAAGTTGACACATAACGAGTGTTGAGTTGAAAGGGTAATTGCAGAGTTCTTTTTTTTCATTTTGACACAGTAACCGCTAATCACAATTGTCGGGATTCGAATACAAGATTTACTCTTTGTAACACTTCTGTCTATCAATTGAACTACGCTCCCCGACTTACTTTTGTAATTCTACTCACAAGCACAATGCACTACATTTCTAAATGCACTCACCAAATTAAAAATGAAATATAACAATAAAAACAATACTACTATCTAAATATCTATGCAATAGACCAACATAAGACTTGTTTTGAATTTTGATAAAAAATAGACTTGATAGCGTATTAATTCTAGAGAGAAGTGAGAGCTAGAGAGAGAAAGTGAGTAATTCTATTTCTCAACCCCCTATAACTAGCCCCAAGGGGTCTATTTATAGGAAAAAATGTGGATTTGGGCTCCTAGCCATGGGCTTAGGAGGCCCATTACAATAATCATGCCTTCTTTGGGCGAAATAGGGCCACTAATGGGCTGTGTACAATACTTAGTAAATAAAGTAGAGAGATGCATTCTGCCCGTACGAAGCCGAGCCGATGCGGTGCCTTTTGGCCGATGCGGTCCCATGGCCGATGCGGTCCATGGGCCGATGCGGTCCCGGGAGTCCATGCGTGCTTCCTGGGCCGGTTTGGTTTCTGGCCGATGCGGACCCACTGGCCGAAGGGGGCCACGTGGGTGTTCTTCTGGCCATCGTTGACTTGAATATGTGGGCCATGGGGTCCAGGCCCATATACTCTATCAAGACTAATTATCAGTGAGTGGACAGAAACACTCATGTACTTAAATCATACTTCGTACTACGTAATTTTCACCCATCTCTCATGGATTTGCAACTCCTTCATTCTGTCATTGTCTCATCTCAATGTCGTACCGATGCGTCTTCTTCAATCTTCACCGCCTTGTCTCCCAATGCATCTCCTCTATCCAGCTTTGTGTGTTGCCTATGTGGCCGCATGTGACGCCCTTCGACTTCTGTCGATGCTCATCCTTCCATCGTCATCGCCGCCAACCCAGACCATCATCACCTCCACCATTTGCATCGTCGGTATCGCTTTTGTTCTCTTTCTTTCTTCTCGTTCAGCGATGATGAAGCTGAATGGTGGTGACGATGGCAAGAAGTCAGCTGCAAACAAGGGCAGAGCTAGAGCACTAGGCCAGACTGGGCCGATATAAAGAACATTTTTTGAAATTTTTTTACACGGAATTTTTTACACTAAAAATACAGGCATTTTTAAAATTTGGGCTGGGCCAGGGCCAGGGATGGCCCTCCCCTAGCTCCGCCCACGGTTGCAAAGGTTTAGAAGACATAGGTAGCTAAGGTTTCTGGAATGCATGGGCGAGGAATGGGGTCTGTGAGGCTGTGAGAGATGTTGTGGCGTATTGACACGGGTTGGGGATGCAAGCATGGGTTGGGGGAGGGATGGGGAGTTGGGTAGGACTGAGGGATGGGGCAGAACAGGGGTATAATCGATGTCACTCACCGGGGCTACGGGCCACTGCTAGTGGGGCGTGGTTAATTGAGTTATCGCCAGCGGCGCGGGAGTGGTGTGACTCAGCGGAACTGGACGGAGATGGTTAAAATTAGGTCAATAGATGATTGCAACTATAACTACTCGAGTACTTGACAGTGGTCACTATCTCTTGGTTATTGTGTTCTATTGTGGTCACTATCTCTTGGTTATTGTTATTGTGTTCTATTGTGGTCACTGATCCATTGGTCACTACGGGACAAAATCATATCATTATGACATTGATTATGGTAGAGTTGGTCGGTGTGAGGGGTCAACTGAGTGTAATAAGGGCACAATGGCCCCTTTAATCATTTATTATTACGGAGTATTAAATAAAAAGTCTTTTTTTTCATTAGTTGATTTTCAGTAATATTTTATTCTCATCCTATTAAAAATTAATAATGGGGTGTTTGGAACTGATTCTGATTCTGCTTCTTTTTATAATGTAGAAGGAGAATCAGAATCAGTTTTCTGAAGTTGGTCTCCCCCAACTTCTAAAAAACTGATTCTAGGAGAAAATTAGAGCACCAGAATCACTTCTACACTTTCACCAAACACTCCAATTTTTTATTCTGCTTCCTGAAGGAGCAGAAGTAGTTTTAAGAATCAGATCCAAACACCCCTGTATAGATCAAAATATATGATCCTTTAATTTAGTTATCTAATCCTTTAATGAGTTTTTTAGAAGCTAGGGGAGATCAGCTTCTGAAAACTGATTCTGATTCTGATTCTATTTTGAAAAAGAAGCAAATCAGAATCAGTTCCAAACACCCCACAATAGATATTAGCAAACTTAGAGCAACTTTACTTTAAAATTGTTAGGAGTCTTAGGACCTTAGATTCAAACACATGCGTGTTATTAGTATCATTTCTTTGACAGAACACATTAGTATCAACTAAGATCATACGGAGTATTTAGTTGCAGTAGTATTAAGGATAATATATACAGAGTAGAGACTTTAAATTATGAGTATTTAGAAAAAATGATTGTATATAATACTTGTAAATACAGAGTAGTACTTATGTGACTGTTAATACTTAATAGAATAAATGAATAATACTATTTGAATTTGATGTGAATGTTCTGAATTCTGAGTTAATCCAAACCAAAAAAATTATGTTGAATTGCTTTACATATGGTCTTTGAACTCTCCAAAAGGTTGAATTCCGAACCTCAAGGCCCCCATGCTCTGGCTGACAGAGCATGCGGTAGACTTAACCAATCTTAATGGTGATAAAATTTATACTTGTACGCATCATAAGCCCAACCCAACACATAGAAGTTGTGACCACCACACGGCCGCTACAGGTTTCGACTGTTAATTGTTCTTTAACTTTCCCACGGTCTTTCATGGTAGGCTATGATGTTGTGTGTCATAAGCTAAATCAACAATTTGCTTTTAATCGTTTGTTATTAAATGGGGTGGAGATATAAATGGGCTTCAAAGTCAATTTTGCTCAATCTATATAGTGTGCAATCATATGACTCATATCCCCTAGTTACCAGTCCTTCCGGATTTTTTATTTGTTACATTCTTTTTTGGAAAGTATTTTTTTGTTTGTTACGTTCTCTTTTCAATCATTTTTCTGATTAAAAATACTCAATTATCTTTACTTTTTCAAATTTTCATACTCTTTCACATTTCACACTTTTCTACTTTCTCACTTCTTATACACTTTCAGTATTCAATATTTTTCTTTTAAATATTGTGTACAATCCTATTGTAGATTTTTATGCACGTATAAACTACGGGATGTTCTCAAAGGTGAATTCT